CCAGCCAAAGGCAGGATGATAGGCCTGAAAGTCAAAATGACAGAGCAATGAATCCTAGATCTTGTGAAAGTTCCATAATGTGAGTTCTGATATTCTCACCTGTGAAATAGTTATGAGGACATCTACTTTGAGAGGCCCTTGAGAAGGTATGTATCAATGACGATTAGGTTTGATTACAAATAACAAATAGCTTACAAGTAAGGAAATCATTTGTTTTATGCAATAGGTACAGGGAAGGCCATCTAGGCTGATACTATGGCTCAACAGGGTCATCCAGACTGAGATCCTTCCAGATTCCAGCTTTCTCATTTTTAATACACGCCCCTCCAGGCACGGTACCTATGTTCCCAGCAGAAAGAAGCAGAAATGGGCCAAAAGCTATTAGGGTACACCAGCCAAGCTTGTCCTTCTCACTAAGCTTTCAGGGAAACCTCCATCCAACAACATCCACTTACCTTACTGCAATACCTGAGTCTTATGGCCACTCTAGGCAATAAGAAGTCTAGAAAAGTGAGATGGCCATATTCCCATCTTAAACAAAACTGGGGTTCTTTTAGTTGGAAAGGACAGAATAAATGTTAAGTAGTATATCAGCAATGTCTACCCCAATATTAAATTAGATATTTTATGTAACGTGCTCTGCACAGTAACCTCACACATATTTAACTGTACGACAAAAATTAAACTATAATTACTGTTATTATTATAATTATCATTGTTGTTGTTGTTATTATCCATCCATCTTACCCTCTGGCCAGATGGAACAACAGCTTATATCCAGATGTATTCCTTACATATCTATTATATCCACTGTTCTATCTGCATCAACAACACCATCCCTGCTTCAAAGTCCAGGAAAATGCCATTTCATCCAAGAAATCTTTCCTGACACCTACTTCTAATAAGAGATCCTATGGTAGCAGGATACACATCAGATAAAAACTATGTTCATCACTCCATTGAATGTAGTCCCTTGGGACACAGTAGGTTCTAATAAATAGCACCTTGATAATTTAAGTAATTCATATAAACATTTATAACTGCTTTTACAGTCACTCCTCCAGAATCAAACATGGTATCTTCCTGAAATGCAAATATTATACACTGGGTTCATATGTCAGAAAGCTAGGGGTGGGAGTGAGGGGATAAAGGCTGCATTCCCCATGAATGAAAAGAAAAAATTATAAAATTCTCTAACAGCACCATACTTTTTGCACATTGTGGGAGTCCAGGTAATAGACCATCAAATATTCCTTCCCAACTATGGGCAGAGTCTACTTTTATCCATGGATGTTGGGCTTCCCCATGTGACCTGCTATGTCCCAAAAGGTTGTTAGCAAAAATGACATCTGTGCAATTTGGCTTGGCTCTTGAATCCTGTGATCTGCCTTGAGAAGACCGTGCCCCAAGTAGCTGCTATCCTTTTATCCTGGGCCCCAGAACACATGTGGAGCAGACCCAAATCCAGCCTGCAGCCTACAGCAAAGTCACCCCACAAAGTGCAGCCTCAATCAGCCAAATCACACTCAACCTAAAGACTCATGAATGTGAGAAGAAATATACCTATTGCTGTAAGTCAGAGAGTTTTGTTATGTCACAAAAGTTGACTAATATATCCTTTACCATTTCGTATATTTTAGCACTTCTTACACATTCATTCGTTTTGTTCTTTTTCTTCACATGAAAAAGAATAGGCTGAAGAATCTCCACCTTCGGTACACCCAATAATTTCTGTCTTTGGATCAACTGTTTTAAATATATGAAACCAACATTGTTATTAATATTAGTGCCTTTTTGTTTTTCATTTGTTCTACTAGCTCTGAAAAATAAAAAAATTCACAATAAAGTATGAAGGAATAATATAAACATTGCTGAAACTGAACTGTTGGCTGGCAAGCAGGTCTCTCCTATGACAGCCAAAATGTTAACTTCTTAGCTGATAAAAAGGGTAAAAGAACATCCTAGTAAAACAACAACAAAAAAATTTAGATTGTACAAAGTCATCTTCATCAAAGTCAAAGACTATCCGTTTAGGTCCATTTATGGATTCCAACACCATTCATCTAAACACATTTTTCAGGATTCCTGTTTTGGCAAACCAGAACTGCTGAATTTCACCAGTAGGAAGACACTAATATGGCTTAAGTATTGTCACTTTTCCAACATAATAAAACAATATGGCCTTACTATTGTAATTGAATAATTTTAAATATAATTATATTTAATCACTAATGAAAAACAATCTCTCTGTAAGTGAAAGAGAAAATAAAATTCCAATCCCTTAGCCAAAGAGAGAGAGAGAGAGAGAGAGAGGGAGAGAGCCAGCTGAATGATGTTAAAAGCATGTATTCAACCAAGACCTATTAAAAATCCCAATTGGAAATTTAATTTTCAAGAAAAATGGAAGAGTGTGGATTTTGTTTTGTTCTACCTCCTTTTAAGTCATCATCACTAATTTGGGAACCAAATTTCCATTGAACCAAAGCTGACCTACTAGAAATATATAAGTCACAAAATTATTAAATTTGCCTATTAGTGGAAATGACAGCCTTCAAAGTGTCAAGGGAAACAGGACAGTACAAAGACCATCAACGTCGCAGTAGACTCTAAACAAAATAGGCCTATGTACACTGGGAGAACCCACACTTCATACTAGACACATGCAGATCAAAAAACCAAAATCTGAATTTGAGACCATGGCCAAAGTTACAGGCTCTGGGTCAGAGAAACGTGCACTGAAGTTCTCACTCTCATACTAAGGTGTAGCAAGATGATTAATTCCATCAGTCTGCTCTATCTATAATTTGGGCATAGTAATAGTTCCTACCACACAGAGGCTCTGCCAGATTAAAAAAAAAAATGCATGTACTCAGCAAAATGCTAGTACATGCAATAACAATAATAATGATAGTAGTAATAGTAATAATACTACCTTGACAAACCTGGCTTGTACATGAAGACTGTCCTAATCACTGTACTCTGGCTCACAATCTGTTCATGAAATGCTGAATGCACAGTTTTGTATTCACAATCCAGGTACAGTTTCTGTGAGGTGAGAAGATTCTGGATCAACCAGTAATTTTTCTACTGAATTCAGGAAGAAGGATGTTGAAAAACTTTTCACTAATAGAAAATTGAGAAGGATCTGTTCCTTCTATTCACAATCCATCTACCCATGAAAGTCTTGGTGGTGAAAGCTATGTTTCTATCTTTATCCACATACCACCCCTCTAAATTGTGCAAGGCTTTTATTAAAGCATAGAAACAGACTGACAAGATGGCTCACCTTAGAAGCAAACTCACCTCAAAGACAAACTCTTTTACCCTCCAGAAAGGATCTGGCTTGACCCCACTGATACCTTTACACTGACATCCAAACTGAAGAGGAAGAAGGCAGCCCTCACTTCTAGAAGTTGAGTTACACTGTCAAAAACTAAAAGAATCCCTTCTATTGGTGGTAATCCTAAAAAAAAAAAAAAAAAAAAAAAAGCTTGTCTGCTTCAAAAATATCATATAAATTCATCCAGCAGAACCAAGAGCCAAGTACTGTATACTGAGAAACAATGTGACTTTACAAGGACACGAGTGATCACGGGAGACGAAGTGCCACACCCTTTTCCAGAGAGTTCAACAGTAAACGGTGTCTCTTATAAAGGAGCCCGAAATTCTAGAAAGATAGGTGGAAAATTCTGAACCTCCCTTTCTTCTCCCCCCATTTCATTCTTTACACATCCATTTCATTTTTAAATCAATGGCCTGAGCATCTCCAACTACTACAACTAATAAAAGGTGGTGGAAGAGACAAACACAAGTCAAACATACTTGCTTCTAAGCCCATTTTGGGAGTTTTCTTCCCGCTTGTCTGCCTCTCACAGCTGGAGCCTCATACCTGGTGGAAACCAATGGTTAAGGAAAACCACTGATTTTAAAAAGCCAACCAGGAAACTAACCATGACAAGTGGGAGCTGCCCTCCTCTCCCGAGCATTGATTGGCTCTTGGGGTTCCACCGGTCCCTCTTCTGCCCACATAAATGGCAGGTGTGGCTGTCAATCACACGGGGAACTGACAATTCACTGCTCCGGGAGTAAATTGCCTTTCATCTAGCAAAGGCAGGTAGCTACCTAAAATCGATCCGCTTGTACAGAGCGGTCCCTCCCTCTCTAGCAAGGAGAACAGAGATCCTTAAGTACAAAATAAATAAGGCAGGGACGATCAGTGAGTTTACGAGTGCTGTTATATTATCCCGCACCAAAGCAGCCTTTAATCCTCACTGTCCTAAAATGATCTTTCAAAGGCTTGGACAGTATTTTTTTTTTTAAGGCACAACCCTCTAAGTACCCCTTTTCTTGTATAATTCGGAGATGGTGAGGGGGAGGGAGGAATGTCGTTCAGTTCAATTTCATATCGTATTCGTTTTCCTACACCACCACCCTTTATCCTCCCCAAATTAATCCAGCTTCATTTTTCCTGACGGGATTTTTTTTTAACACGCTCCCCTCGGAGCCCATCTAAGCAGCCTGGGACCCCACCCCCTGGGTTGGGGCTCCGCCTTTCTCCACTTTGTTCTGCTTGAGGTTTCCCGAGACCCTTGCCCCCGCGGACACCCCACCCCTCGAAGCAAGAGGGGGAAAGCCAGAAGAAAGAGGGGGAGCTGAAGAGGAAAAAGGCGATGGCAATGAGGGTGGCTGCCGGAGAGGGACTGCAGGAGGTGGCCCGGGCAGCCGGGACGAGCGAACGGCGCCCGCGCGCCGGAGGAAGCCGTGCACTTGTTCCAATCTGGGGGGTTCTACACTAAGGCAAATCCGCCTTTAGGCCGCCCCATCTTTTCCCCCGCCCCAGAAAGCCCCGGTAGAGGCGGATGGTTCACCCCTCGGCTCCCCCAGATAACGCATTGCAGCTCCCCACGAGTGAGGGGCAGCCGGCATGAGAGATGCCTAGGCACTGGCGCCCCGAGGGAGCCGGGCGCCCAGCGGCCCCGGCCCTGGCGTCGACGTCTCACCTTTCGGATGCTCGCCCCGGGGCCGTCCCACATGGATTTTTACAACCTCACGTCGCCTTGGCCCCGGGCGGCCGGGAGGAGCCGGAGCCGGCGCCGGAGCGCCTGCGAGCAGGAGCGGGAGGAGGAGGAGCCGGGCTGGGAGTGAGGGAGGGATGTAGGGAGGGTGTCGCTCGGAGGGCCGGGCCCCGGCACAGGGCCGGGCGGGGCTGACGGCCGAGGGGGCGGCACCCGCCGCAGTCGTGAGCCGCGCGCTCGCGGGGCGCTGCCAGAGCGTCTCTCAGCCGGGCCCCCGGCCCCTCCGCTCGGCTAGCTCGCGCGCTCGCCTGCCGCGGCCCTGACTCACATTCCCAGCATTCCCGAGGAGCCGCTGGGGGGGCCGGGGCTGGGAAGCGCACGCCTCCGCCGGGGGCAGCAGAGAGTGCCCGGCCCGGGCGTGGTGCAGCCGGCGGGGGTCTTCGAAGCGCCTTCTCCCTGGAGGCCACCGTCTCGAAGCACCCGGTCCCCGTCTTCTGTCCCTGACGCCCCTTTCCGGGCACCCACTCGAAAAGCTGCCAGGCACTTCTGGGCTAGTCAGGTGGCTTCGGCGGCAGGGGCAGGAATGGCACCTGGTGGAGGGGATGCAACTATCTTTCAATTTAAGCTTTAGAGTTGGGGTCGAGGTTTCCATACTCTGGCACCCTCCCATTAGCTTAATCTTCTTTAGGACTGTGAAGGGATTTCATAAGATTTTTACTTTCTTGTTCCCCCAAGGAGAGAATAGAAGACGAAGGAAGGGAGGAAGAAAAAAATATATATCATCTTCATCACCGTTGTCATTCATCAAGTGCCTCCGCTGTGTCCTGCAGTGTGTGTGTGTGTGTGTGTGTGTGTGTGTGTGTGTGTGTCCGTCCTCCCATTTAAGATAGAAAGATGGTGTCTGAGTTCATTCTCTCTCTCTCTCTCTCTCTCTCTCACACACACACACACACACACACACACACGCATGCATATCTCAAGATGAGGTGCAGGATGAGCTGGACAAGTTTTTCGTTGGAAAAAGCTTCCACCCAACAAGTCTGGAGCCCCAGCTGCTATCATTTTATACCAGCCAGGGAATTCGAAAAGTTATAGGTATATCCAGATTTGGTCTCTCGCTGAGAGTCCATTTGCTGGACTAGGGCAGTAATTTCCTTCCATTTCTGATGAGTCTACTTCCAGCAATTTCAGTATCCAGATAGAAATATCTCCTGCTGGGAAAGTCAGACACATGAAGCAAATTTAGCCATGGGATGTCTGGGTGAGCAGAGGTATGGAATCAGCACAGCGACTAGGGATGACTCGTCTTCCCTTCCCTGATGGGAATTCAAATATTAAATGAAGAAAGTGGATGCTGAAAGAGGAGGATGCCTTCCTGTTCTAGCCCATATACCCGGTCCTTATGCTTCCCTTTTACATCTCTGGTATTATAAGTGTTTCACGGGTTCATGGCCCCAGAAGTCTCTTTGCCCTAACCCTCCTCTTTTAGTCACCAAGAAACTGGCACTTATTCCATTGTCCTGGATGCTCCCTGGGCAAAACCAAGCTATACCTGTTGTGTTTAGTTTCCCATGTACAGCCTTAACAACCTTGGCTGAAAAGGCATATTACATACTTTAAAAGCCTTGCCAAGAGTCCTTTGAGAAGTACTAAAATCCCATATCTTTTGAAAGGTGACCAGTGTTCATCGAGTACCTCCTATGTGCTGCACTTACATTTTCCCAACTACTCTCACAAAAACTCTATAAGATGTTTAGTATCTGCACCAGTCCACCAGAATCTAAAAAGTTTATGTACAGGCCTGATTCTCCCAAGGCTATGTCCTTGGGCAGACATACATTCCAAGGACAAAGAAGGGAGTGAGAAGCCCCCAGCTGCCCAGGTCTCGCTCCTGGGTAACTGATAGTCACTGTCCTCTCAGTTACCTCCTCCAACACCAGGTGGTCTGGCTCCAAAATCAATAAGACAAAATTAATTGGACTTGGTGAACAATTGGATGTGGGACAAGAGGGAGGAGCCAAGAATGCTTCCCAGTGTCTGATTTGGGCAACTAAATGGATAATGTACCATTTGCTAATACTGGAAATAAAAGGGGTGGGGGGGAGATACAGGTTTATGGAAAATTTATGAAAAATTTGTGGCTTCAGTTGGGTCATTTTAAATTTGAGGTGCCGGGGGCTTCATCCAGAAGGTGACTATCTCAATATGTTTTGAGGTCAGGTGAGAGATATATGATAAAGATAGTGTAGGGGAGTCATCACATTTGGTAATTAGAGCCATGGTCATGGCTGAGTAACCCAGAACAGTCATTAGCTATGGGAAGAATATAGATAGATGAGAGAAAAAAAAAAAACTAAAAAACAATTATCTGTTCTTCTTAGGCATAAAGTCATTTGTACATGTCTCTGAACAGGGTAGATTTTAGTTCAAGAGAAACATCATTGGGCTACCATAAAAGAAAAAAGGCCCAAAAAACTGACTCACTAGCACCACCAACACCTGACCCTTAGGAAACCAACTTGAGCCAATTCTCCTTGCCAGGAAAGTTTTAAGACCTTTGTAGCTCTAAGCATCATAGCAAGCTTGTCAACATTCAGCATCATCAAAATATATATCTTTTTTCTGTGGGAATTTTTGAAAGTTTTTTTAACATTCCCTTTTAAGTTATTTAACTAATTCATTTTATTTACCTGTGGCTATGATTTGTCCATAATCATTAAACATACTCAAGAATTATTGTGAGGAGAGAAGAAAATTTGACCTATAACTGTTTTCAAGTAGAAGGAAATATTTGTAAATAAGAAAAACCTTAATATTATGTCTTGAAGATATTTACAATTAAACATTTATTAATTCCCTATTTACGCTTTTCTGTAAATCTGTAATCTCAAAGCATGCAAGTCTTTCAGGTGCTTGCAAACCATTGATTAAATGTTTATATAACCTAAAATTACATCAATTTCTTTAGTTCCTTGGTTTTTAATAACTTTCCATTTCCATGATTCCGGCCCCTTATGAAGTCTGGTCACTCTTTCTGTCCTTGGGTTCCATGAGAGCCCCCCGTGTCCTTCTAATAGATACATAGCTTTCATTTTTCTGCCTTGGGGAGCTTGAGCGAGTGTCTCTTCCTTATACCCATAAGTGCTCCCTGGATTGGAAAGCCAACTTCCTTATGCTTAGACAAAGCCCTTCACTCCAATCCATTAGAATCCAATGGCTGAATCTGGCCCAGTGGCCAGATTTCCCAAAGGAGAAAAAAAAAAAACCCTGGGGCAAAACTTCATAAGCAAATATTGTTGCAGTCATTAGGGATTCCTTACTTTGCTCCTGGAAATATGTGGCAGATGACCATGTTGAGCCCTGACCCTGGGCTGTGACTGTGCAGTATTTTCCACGAGCTACTGCCCATCCCTAAGGCCTCCTCTTTCTTCCAGTTCCCTAGCTTGGCTATTTAAACATAGTTCATTAGCACATTTTAAATTTTGCTAAAAGCTCAAAAATTAAAAGTAACTTTTTACCATGCCCATTTAAGAACAAGTTCAAGGTGGAGAAGTCCCCTTGGAAGGCTTCATGGAGAGGAATAACTACAGATGAAGGTTTTAAAACCTTCAAAATTCTGCGGGCTCACACATCCTTTTGGACTCACCCAAGGCCCTGGCTCCTTTAGACTTGTGCTTTTTGCTACTAAAGCAGCTGCATTTGAATATCACGTTTTCCTTCTAAAAAGCTAAAGGCATGATAGAGAGTTAAGCTATTCTAGAAACCTATGAAGAGTTCGCATCGTGAATCCATCTGCACTTCCATCCATGCAGATGCTGAAAGGACCTGGGCAAACTTTAAAGTGAACAAATAATGTGATTCATTATGTGAGAGAAAAATAAAATTGGGAAGAGGGTGTTGAAACATGAAAGATGTTTGCAATATCATTAACATAGCAAAACCAACCTTTTTTCAATTTTTTTCTGGTAGCAAAATTTGCCACTTAATAGTGTGTCTTCAGACAGTCTCCTTATCTGGAAAATAAGGGGAGTTCACAGTTTCTTCTTAATGTGGCTGTGATAAGGATAAAATAAAAAACAATGCAGGGTAAGTCCTTAGATCATTCAAGGAATAGTGACTTCTGAGCCCAAAATGCTGGTTATATTAGGGAAAAGAGTAAAATTTACATGTAACATTTTCAGGAAGTTTAAATGAATCTAACAAAATCATGTCAAATAGCCAGGATTAGGGTGAGGTAGGTAAGACACTAGCTTTGGGTGCAAAATTTAAGGAGGAACCAACATTTTGGTAATTAAAGTAAATCATGGCTTAATATAATATTTTTGAAAAACAAATCCACAAACCACAGCCCAGAGGCTGGCTGCTTGTTTTTATAAATAAAATGGAAAGTCTGAGGAATGAAGTAAATAAGTTGAAAAAGAACTGGAGCTTCAGTAGGGACTCTACACCCTGAGGTTCCAAACAAGAATTTCTTACACTAGGGCTGCTTACTAAGAGCCAACCTCCTAATGTTGCGCTGGAAGCTGCTGAGAATGACTTCATTCATCCATTATCTTTGCAGCCTGAAGTCTCTCTGGGCAGGAGAAAAACATCTGCCCTCAGGGTGGGTTACAGTTGTGAGAGAAAGGGTAACAAGCCAGCCAGAAATGTTTCCTGGGGCTAAAATGGTTTGTTTACCCAACCTAACCAAGGACCCAAGGTCCATGAAATACTAGCTTTAGCTTACATATTTGAACAATCACTGAGATAAATTTCTGAATACTCTCTGAGTACTCCATAAATATGAGCCATTTTTTAATAATAGGAGAATCATTAATATAATTTGAAGAATGGAATCTGCAGTTGTACTAGAAAGATGTAAATGATCGGCCCATTAATCAGCCTGCCTTTGGACAAGGCCAATGCTAGATAAGGGTAGAATGGGGCATGCAAAAGCAGGAATGTGCTGGTTTTCCTCCCGTGCTTAGGTTCATATCTTACCACCTACAAAAGTGGCTCAGATTACTGAAGTTCCCATCACCAAGCTATTCTTAGAGACAACAAAAAAATTCATAACTTATATTGCAAAAATA